CCCCCCCCCCCCCCGCTCTTTACAGCACAGCCAAATCCAGCTTTCGCTCCAACCGTACACTTGAGTTTAACATAGCAGCCTTGCTTCGGTAACATGAAGATTACAATAAGTCCATTTGTATCTATCTATCTATGTATCACCTTCCAGTATGCATATATTTGTCCAACTGCAACTGCAACTGCAACTCCAGCACACTGACACTCGCGCTCACACTCACACTCAGGCTATTCTTTCACCGACTAATCCGTATTCCCAATATATGCCTTCGTACCCATGTCTTCTTCCACATCTCCCTCTTTCCACACCTTTCTTCACATCTTTCGCCAGTAGCACCGCCACTACATACCACCACCACCACCACCAGCAGGCCTCAACACAGGAATCTGACCCTGCTCCCGCGAAACCACCCACGTGTTCGCATCAACGGTATTATGCACCAGGCCGCGCGCGGCGAGGTCAGCGAGATACGCGGCTGTAGATGCTGTGTCGAGGGCGAGTGCGGAGGCGATGGCGGTGGTGGTGGTGCCGATGTAGGATGTAGGGCGGGTGTGTAGGTCTGTGGTTAGGTGGGTGAGGATTTGGGTGAGTTTTGTTTCTTTTTCTTGGTGTTCTCCTCGTTCTTGTTGTGGTTGTTGTGGTTGTTCTTGTGACTGATCATGATACTGATGTGCTGGTGCTGGTTGCGATGATGAAGTGGTATCTTGTTCGCTGGCAGCTGCTGGAGACAAATCCGGGGTCCCTTTTTCTTGCCGTTTCTCTTCCACATCCTCAATTCCATCTTCATCGAGTGCCAAACGCAGCTGTCCTAGAGCTGCGCGTTTTGCATCGAAAGACGGGCGACGCATACGGCGGAGACGTTCGCGAATAATGGCTTCGTCCAAGCCTATTTCCTCTGCACTTGGATATTTCCCATGTCCTTGATCCCAATTACTCATTCGTTCCAAATTCTGCTTCGCCACTTCATATTCTGCACTTTTGTATTCCTGGTCTTCTCCAGTCTTGAAGGCATCTCGTTGTGGGGAAACGCTTCTCTCGTCCACGTGTTCCCATTCCGGGCGATGACGAGAAAGAACAGGGATATCTGGATCCAAGGCTCTCTTGAACTCTTCGCTCGCCTCCTCGCGTTTGTTGTTGTCGTCGTCTTTCGCGTCGGTTGCTTCGTCTGCCTCAATACTCTTGATAGCGCGTTCCAAAACGGTCGAAAGCGCACGCGCATCACTGGTATACTGAAACTCGAACACCACATCAACCCTATCATCCAGCGGCTCCGCCACTCTGCGAACCTTGACAAGTATACTCCGGTTAGATCTCGTTCGGATCCATCTGCTACGAGACATAATGTCAAACGACGCGACGGGCTTGCTGCCTGGCGCGATTCGTTGCGACGACGGGTTTTTCTCATACATATTGACTCTATTCTCGACAACTTGGATAATGCAGGGGGCTTCGGAAATAGGGCCCCAGCCTGTGGCCATCTTGGAGTCTCGGATGATGGAAACTTGGGCTTGGATCGGCGTTTGAAGTTCTTCTTCGGCTGGTATGTTCTGGGCAGCATCCTCCATTGAGCTGGACTGCGGAAACTCGGTGGGAATTGAGCCCGGTACAACACTCTTTTGCATATCAGCCGGCGGATCCTCCAATTGTATCGATGTTGGAGACTCTCCAGTTGGTGTGTTCTGAACAACATCCTGCGTGGAGTCGGACTGGGAAGCTTCAGTGAGAATTGGTTCCGCTACACCACTCTCATTCATTTCCACAGGCGAGTCCTCCCCTTGTACCGGCGTCTGGGGCTCTTCATCCGGTACATTCAGAGCAACATCCTCAATCGAGCTGGCCTGAGAAACAGTAGAAACCCGATCCACAACACTCTTACCCGTTTCCACAGTGCGGTCGTCCACTTTTACCGCCACATTTTCCTCTGTCGGCGGGAAATAAACAGGCAGGAGGCTCTTATACGCCGACTCATCGTTGTACGAGTAAACAACAAAAACAATCTTCTCCAGGCCACCCTCGTCTCTCGACTGCAGAAAACGGCGCACTTCTTCCATGGCAAGGGCCGCGCAGTCGCGGCGCGGGTAGTTGAGCATGCCCGTGCCCACACTGGGTATGGCGACTGATTTGGCGCCCAGAAAGGTGGCTGTGTGCAGGATTCCGCGGTAAATGTTGCGCAGGATGTTCTTGGTATTCTTGCCAAAAGACTCGGGCGGGATGACGTGGATGATGTGCTTGGCTGGTAAAAGGTAGCCTGGGGTCGTTCTAATGTCGCCTTCTTTGCAGGGGCCGAGCTTCTTGACTTCTTCCTGCAGCTCGGGTCCGCCCTTCTTGAAAACGCTGCGATCCAGAGTACCCATGCCTAGAAAGGATGTGTCGGTGGAGTTGACCATGACGTCGACCATAAGCTTGGTAATGTCCTCTCTTATATAGTGGATCGTTTGATTGAAGGCGGCAGAAGACTGCGCCATGGTGGGCTTGCGTTTGATGGTGCCACCCTCGTAGAGTGTGGCTACAGACCGGATTTGATGTAGCTGCACCAAATTCCGGCTGCTAGAAGCACTTGGTGTGGGTTGCTGTGCCTTTATTGCTTCTTCTGAAGGACCATAAGTGACCGCAACGTCCTGCGTTCTCTCCTTGTCCCGGTAACTCTCGAGCGCTGGACGCACCTCGGTCATATCCCATTCTGGCTTGTCTTGAGTCAAGACTTCATCAAGACTTTTTGCAAAGTACCAACAATAACTCAAGAACTGCCCAAGGTCAGATCCGTGGACGGCGTGCATATTGCGGTTTGCCTTGTTCCATATCTCCCGGCGTATCTCGGCTGTGGGTTCTGTTTTCTTTGCTCGCTCCGTCAATTTTGTGATGTTGTGAGAAAGAGTCATTAGAACAGAACACAGTAGGTTGAGGTCTTTGAGGTTATCTCCAAGCTGCTCGGATTCCAGTAAGTGATTGCGGATCGAAGATAGTGCAGACTCAATCTCATAGAGTTGATCGATTTCGAGCTCTGACACAAACGCACCGAATTCACTGGCGAGTGCCTTGGCTACCCTTTGCATCTCTGCCCATGCGTTCAGCACCCGATTACTCAGCGCTATGTGATTTCCGGAGTTGTTCGAAATCCTCGCCACATCCAAATCTCCATGTGTTGGTGGGAAAAATATCGGGAAAAAATCCATATAGGCCTTCTCGTCAACTGCCGACTTGACGCAAAAGATGATACGTTCGTACCGGACTTCAGGATGTGAATCCAAGTTCTCGCGAACAGCTTGAAGTGCGATGCGTGCAGCCATTCCTGCTGGAAAACCGCCGCCTCCAGCTCCCAAGCAAGGAAGGGCAATTGTCTTGATTCCAAGTTCGCCAGCTGTTCTCAGGGCATTGTGATAACAATCGCCGAGAACAACAAACTGCTGGACGCCCTTGGACCCCACATAGGTCGGCCCTGCAGCATGGATTACCCAAGATGCTGGGAGATCGTGTCCACGAGTCAAGACTACTTTGCCTGGGTAGATTTGGACTTTCGACCTCACCTCTTCTCGAAGCTTTGGTCCTCCGCCTTCCATTACGGCATGGTGTAACAACCCTGAGGACGGGGTAAGCCTCAAATCTACAGGGGCGTTGTTGACAATAGCGTCCACCTGAAGCCTTGTCAAATCATAGTAGCAAATCGAAATCATTCGGTTGTAGGAATCGTTTGCTGAGTAGCTCTGGTCGGACTGTAACAGTCGCCGCGAACGGTACAATGAGCGGAGCGTCGGAATATCACTCAATGGAATGATTGGCGGTCTTCCTTCTACATGGGTGATATCTTCTTGATATCGATCTTTTGTATCATTGAGCTGTTCCAACATTGTCTCCAGTTCCTCTTGATCGTGAACAAGATCAGCCACACGGCCGGAGTCGGACTGGGCAGACTGTAAGGCAGCTATGAATACTATGTTAGCTCATGCAATACACAACTCAAGGCTCTCGCTTATTCGTGGACTCACATTGATCATCGTTTGCCTGATCATTTCCGTGAACTGAGCCTGCGGGCAAAGAACCTGGAAGGGATTGAGACATAGTGCTACCACGGCTCGCAATACCACTGGCGCCGTCTGAATCGTCTTCTCTGCTGTGAGGGAGAGCAAACGTTGCGACTCGCTCGAGATGGTTCGCGATGTGGTTCTGCAGACCGCCCAGATCATTTGTACCCGCGGGGACACAGCAGATTGGGCATTTCGCTCGCGTATCTGCTGTAGTGGCCTCGCCAACCTTGGCAATGGTGACCAACTGGCTCTCTGGGAAGTTGTCGAGATGTCTTTGGCGCAGATGGTTTTCCAGACCCGCTTGGGAACTGAACACGGCAGCTGGATGTTCAGGACATCTCCACACTCTGCGGTGACTCGCTTCGTGCTCGGCCCATTCTCTACGGCTGCGAAAGAGCAGTTCTGGGCTTTCGCAATCGGGATACGTACAAATGTAAGGCTGCAGGTCTTGAAGTAGATGCATTCGCCAGGCTCTTCCCTTGCCATATCTTGCTGGGCAAACGATCCAACAATACGGGCATTCAAAATCTTTATTACCGCTTGCGGTTTTGGGTGGCGGGGGCAGATCGACGCCTTTTCCGTGGACATCTCTTACCGTCACAGCGTAGCTCGTTACCGATTTGGTGTCTACTATGTCGTCCAAAGACTGGTGGAGCTGCGTCACCTCGGTGCCTGAGAGAAGTGTCCTGCCAGTTTTCTGACTTGGCGCCTCTTTAGGCACTGAAATAATAGGAGCCGTAGGATTGTTTTGTGGATCGCCAGTGGGAACGACACCAGGTGTCTCAAGTGGTGTGACAGCATCAACAGCTAGATCATCCGACATCGTAGATGCATGCAATTTGTCGCGATCTGAGTGTTGATTAGATTCAGTCGCTGTAGTTGTAACCGTGAAAACTTACGTCTTTTCCAGTATTTGAAATGTCGCCTGCGAAGAGTAATGGATGCAGCTAGTCGTGTGATCAAGAAGTCGGGCTCTTCTTGCGCATCCCCGGCATATGGACGGCGTAGGTGAGATACTAGTTCTCGAACGTGCTTGAGATCTTGTACAGCATACATGTCTAAGATGTCTACACCAGTGTCTGGGTCTTTTTGCGTATAAGAAGATGCTCGCAGTGATCTGGAGCGTACGCCTGGAGTCCTGATGCGAACGCTAAGCTTGTAGAGATTGTCGATGATGTCGACGATTTCTCTGAAGCGGAATTTCAACTCGCTTCTGGGCTCATCGCAGCTGCCATCCTCATCTGATTCTTCTTCGCTGAAGAAACCGTCGTCGTTGTCATCGTCCTCGGCTGTGTCTGCGGCGGCCTGCTCTTCATACGGTAGACGAGCACCAGATACAACGGCATAAGCTTCAGTGATGTTGGTCTCAAGTTCTTTCAGAAGCTTTAGCGTGTTGGTATTTGACACTGGCGAGTCTCGCAGCCTGTAGTCAAGTGAGCTATGGCCTTTTTGTAGGGCGCCCAGGTTTCCAGCCCAGACGCGGAACCTGCCGATTTCGTCTTCAAGTGCTTCTTCGTCGATTGAATCCGCCCATTTTCTGTTGCTGGCACTGAGAGAATTGGTCAAATTTTGGGATGCCCGCACATTCAAAGCTGTTGCAAGACGTAGAGTGGACATGGCAAGCAGCTGGCATGTTGGAAAAGCGCAAGCGGGGAGGGGGGTTATGAACAAGGCCGTGGGCGATACTTGTTTTGCGGGTTTTGGGTGATGTTGTCTTTGATGAGTCGCAGACAAAGGTTGGTGCTGCGATGTTTTGCGGTTTCAGCTGCTGTACTTAGCCTTGACTGTCATGGGGTTCATGCTAGCAACTTTGGGGTGGGGTGGGGTGGCGCAGCTCCAGCGTCTTGCGGGCAGCTGTCTCTTCGTTGTTGCAACGTTCTTCTGCCCACCCAGACAATCTAGAAGCCGATATACTTTCCTGGTCCTTTGCCAAAGTGGATTTCGCTTGGCTTGGAGGTTCACAGTCATCAGCGTGTTTCTGTTACGACTGTGTCGAGAGCCAGCGTCAGGCCCCCCCTCGTGCCTTTGCCCGCGCACCAATGACACACAGCACCTTCTCCTGTGCATACTGTGAAGATACGTTACAATGAGCGGCATCGAGGTAGCTGGCCTTGTTCTCGGATGTCTGCCTTTACTCATACAAGGTACGCACAACTATCGTGGCTCGCTCGACAGCAACAAGCTAACAGCATGCCAGGGATAGAGAGTTACAAGGAGGGACTGGACCCAATCAAGGGCTTTTTTGGCCGGGAAAAGGAGCTGCCCATCATCATAAGAAAACTTCGGGCACAATATGACCACTATGACCAGACGATTCAGCTGCTGTTTGGGTCCATTACCTCAGACGTCGAGTTTGCATTGATGATGACGGATCCCGCGGCGTCGCAGGAACTGTGGAAGAGCAAAGAAGCAGCACTTCAGGATAAACTGCAAAACACATACAGCTCGTACCAGAGGACCATGGCGGATATCGAGAGGATTACCAAGAAGATTGCGAGCAAATTAGACCTGGATCGTGCGGCCGAGGTAGAACAGGCAGGCTCCTTGTAAGAAGTACTACTGACATGAACATGACAGCTCACCCGCAACGATCTCGAGGCACTACTGGCTGCAAACCCTAAGAAGGCCAATGACAACAGGTATGAGATTAGAAAGCGCGTGCGGTTTGGCATGAACAAGAAGACTGTCAAGGCCCTCCTGGAAGAACTGGACGAGTGCAACAAGAGCCTGGAACGATTTACTGAGAAGAGCGAGAAGATTGAGACGTACCACCGCGCGACCAAGCCGTCGTATGCCTCGCGGCTGCAAAAACTGCAGCGGTATGCCAAGACACTGCACGAATCGTTGAGCGTATGCTGGTCGTGCTCGTGCAAGTCGTCGCACCGGACAAGCCTTCAGCTCGAGCCGCGGGGAAATGTCTTTGCTTTCAGAGGGCAGAAGCCGACGGAGAGTCCAAAAACAAGCTTTGGTGTTGCTTTTTCCACCATGGACGCTGATGGGAGCGGTGTGCCGTGGCTGATTCAGGCGGCGGAGATAAGCGTAGAGGACGAGGACGAGGACGAGTGTCTCGCACCCATGGCATCTCCCCGACAAAAGTAAGCAGTGAAAGTGTATGCCGTGTCGTCGAGGGGGCACGGATACAGGCGCGGGGGTTAATTGCGAGTTTCAAACTAACAGTGGTAAGTAGGATGGCCAAGAGAGTTAGCTTCGGAAAGCCCCCTCCGTACGCAGTTATGGACCCTGGCGACCAAATGTTGCCTCCACAAGAGGTAAAGGACCTGTGCGCATCTATTCAACAATTGGACAAAGGCGCCTCTATGATAGGCTTATCGCTAGACCGCAAAAGCAAATTACGAGGCGTGCACTTGATCGACATGACAGAAACGCATGTTCCTACCGTGGAACTGGTATCTCTGGAGGATCTGCTTAGGCAGCCGCCCGTCGTCAATGGCAGACGGGCGAAGCTGAGCATGAAGGAGAGGTATAGCTTGGCGCTGACGTTAGCAAGCAGTGTGCTGTATTTGAACTCGACGCCTTGGCTCGCGAACGAGTGGGCAACTCGCGATATCCTGTTTCACCGGACATGCAATGCTGCACGGCCGATCAATACCGAGCGCCCCTATCTGGCGGCCATGGGTGTTGAGGGGGCCAATGGAGTATCGGAGAAGGAGCAGGCGGGCGGCTTCAGGAACACTGTGCTCATTGCGCTGGCCGTGGCTCTCCTCGAACTCTACTTTGGCGTCACGGCTGAAAAGTACCGGGAATCAGAAGCCGAGGGCGACGAGGTGGGGGATATGTCAGAGTATCCGGGCCCGTGGAGACTTTGGGCACTGGCGCGCAACTGGACCTACAACGAGTCTGGAAACCTGTCAGCTGCCTTTCAGAACGCCATTAGGCATTGCATAGCAGGATCCAGCGACCCTTGCGCCAGCTTGCAGGATGCCGAGTGTCTCCAGGCTGCAGTGGAGAATATTGTTCTGCCACTGCAAGAAGAGCTCCACCAGTTCCTGGGTAAAGCAACAAACTAAAAAAAGACGGTGGCGGTTGGAGGCGGAGGCAAAACTTGGCAGGCGAGCGTGGGACAAAGTTGGGAATCGATCTGCGACATGAGCCAGTTGGACGTGTCTGGGGAGGGGGGCGTTAGGGCATGAAGGACATTGCCAGGGCAGCGGGACCATTTCTGGCCATGGGACATGGTGTGTTGGAAAGGCTAGCAATCCTGCATCCCACAGTGACAGCACCGGGTCGGAACGCCAGCCGCTTATTCAACGCGCATCACCTCGTATTCGACCCACGCACACGCGCGGTTAGGATCCGATTCTGGGGTAAAAAAAAACGAGCGTGACTAGTGCGGCAAGTGGCCAACGTCATGGTTGAAGGCTTGTCGAGACAGTTGGCGTGCGAGAAGACTTTACCCGCGATCGTCGCGAGGCGAAGCAGGCGCCATGGCAACGCGAGCCGCGAGCAATGAGTGAGCCATGGCGATATGGGTGGTTAGCGGCGGGGGTGGCTAATCGGGTAGGCGAGGAGATGGGGGGGGGCGTGTGAATGCAAGCTTCTGTTGGCTGGGGCGTGGCGCGTGATTCGAAGGGGTGCGACAAGAAGCTTTGCTCATGGTGGAGCAGCGACTTGGCGGGGGGGTGTGAGTAGATGGTGGCACATGACGAGGGGCGGATGGCATTGGCATTGGTGCAAGGCGCAGAGCTGAGCGTGGCTGTGGTAGTGGGGGTTTGCCGTTATCTATCTGACATTTGGCCGACATGGTTGTGCGGCGTGTGTGAGCGAGTGTGTGTGTGGTGGTGTGCTGGCGTGCTTGGATGAGCACAAGCAAGTCGGGCGGCGATTGGACGACGTCATGTGCCACGGATGGCATTGTCACGGCCTATCAAGACAGGACGCTCGCTGGGGGCGCAACGGGGGGGATGCGGCGGAAATTGGCCCTGTAGCGCGCGCTAGGGGGGACGAGGCATTGCGCGGGAGAACAAGTGCCATGGTCAGCAATGGGAGGCCATGGAATGCGATGGCGTGCATTGCGGTATTGGGTGTGGGCGTGTGTGGGCGTGTGGGCTGATTAGCTTGCTTATGCCGGGCAGCCAGCAGCCCCCGGCCCGTGGGGAGGGGCTTGTGTGTAGAGTATGGATGCGTGTATGCAACACACGTCGGTGCGTGCGTAAGAGAGGGGCGTGGATGTAGACATGTAGGCGGTGTAACCAGTGCCAGCGTCCAGCGAATCCTGCCGTGTGTGCGTGCATGTCGGCGCATGTACATGTAGGTGTGGTATGCGGAGGTGTAGCATGCCTGTGTAGGAGAGGCGGCTACTGGGTGGGAAGCGAAGTGGCTTCGGCAGAGGCTCTTGTTGGCGCCCGACATGGCTGAAACAAGGCCTGCAGTTGGACGAACGATGCGGCGAACAGGCACAGGCACAGGCTGGTGAATTGGCCACGGCAAAAGGGGAGGGGGGACTTGATGCGAGCGTGAGCTCCAGCGCGCGGGCTGCTGCCGACCATGGCGAGCGAAAAGGAGTTGCGCAGCCTCCCGGGGTGGCGACGGCGATAGGGAGCGACAGGCCGGGGGGGGGGGGTGTTTCTTTTTGAACGTCGCTCGGCGGTTTGGTAGAGCCAGGTGGGCGGCATGGGTGTAGTAAGTGCGTGTAGGTGTGTGTAGGTGTATGTAAGGAGGGCTAGCACGTACATAAGAATAGAGGCCCAAGTGGGTGCGGTGCAGTCTTGGTGTCGTTGCGGTGCAGCAGCCTGCAGCGGGTAGCAGGCCAGCCCACCACACCACCAGCACCAGCACCAGCAACCATACATACCTGACAACCACCGCCCGCCACCCACCACAACAAAACAACACCACACAACACAACACGCACAACAACAGTCAAGGCTACATAGCATCGCCATCGCCGCCATCGCCTCGCCCG